AATATTTACCATCAAGGGATACACGCAGTCCGGGTTCTCATGACAACTTGGCACAGCTCTAGTAACGAAGTTTTTTTTAGAAAAACAAAGTAACAAGTGAAGTGCTGTCGATCTCAATGACAATCGTTGTTAATACAATCCATGTAAATATTAAAATGTAAGTGTGCACATGGTAACATAATGCGTCCGCCGTGAACTTGCGCACTGTTTTACGAGTCCCACTTTGGAGGCTTTTTCTTCTCAAGGTGCATTTCAACCAGGTCAAACATTTCGTCTCAAGAAAACAAAAATCCACACCTTCCCTCCACCCCATCTCCGTAAATTAGCGTTTGAAAAGCATATTACCAAAACCCACGTCGAGATAATGGCACTGATACAATTACTTTCCATTTGTGTACTGACCAATTAAGCGCTTTAATACCTGGTGCCAGTTTATGTGCCCCAGTCTTAACATTAGTAACAAGGGAGAATATTTCACTGGAAATTCACAAGTCATTCTAGCAAAGCAATAATTCTGGAAACATATACCTTTCTAGTATACACTGGTTATTCCTTGAGATGCCCAAATAATAAGAATCTCGAAAATGGAAAGGGACGGATGGAAGTGGTGGGTGTTGAATGTTAGATGTGAACTTCAACCACTTGTGGTGCTGAAGTTCTTTCCAAAGCGCTGTCATGGAAGTAGCTCATAAAGGGCACATATAAGAATAGAATTCAGTTCTAATAATGACTTTCAATAACACTCAATATTTTGTATAAAACAATGAAGGAATCTGTATGTTTTATGAATGATTCAGACAAATGCTGATTGCAAATGAGTGCACAACTTTAATGACAACCTGGCAAAACCCCGGTGAAATTAACATCGAATACTTTCAGTGAAAAGCTTCCTCTTAAAAACTGAATTTTAGAAATGGCAGCTGTCCCTGTAGCTGACAGCGAATCGCTAGGCGTACAACACAGGTAAAATTTACAATGTCAAAATTTCACTGGAAGATGTCAAAAGATTGTTTTCAATCTATCTTTATGATAAGTAAAGTAATGAAGTTATTACTTTATTATGTTAATTTCGTGTATCTCATACATTTCATCGGAAATACTTTTGACAATTCACTCGTCAGTCAACTACCCCAAAGCACCTAGGATTAAAGTTCAGAAGTAAAATAATTAATAATGAAACTTAATGTCGGGGCGTGGGGGGGTGGTGTGGTGGTGGTGTGGGGTGTGCGGAGGGAGGTGGGATTGCCTCGACAGGTTATTGGTTAGTATGTTTGCAAACGTTTAACATCAGTTTGAGGCTTCTTTGATCTCCACTCGCTGAGGCCAATCTATGGGCAGCCACGCAATTGCAATGCCGGTACCTACCAGTGTTGCTACACGGTCAAATGCTGTCAGCCACTGCTTGCATTGTTTATGCGATGTTAAAAATTGAAAAGTGTTGGTAATCGGTAGATTTTGCAGGTGTAGAATGTGGCTAACAACCATGCACAGTTGGTGCTCTCCAATGGCGAGAGGATGACAGAGACAGCTGGCTCAGTTTTCAATCTGAAAACACCCCCTCGGTGGACCAAACACAACGACAGTGACCTTTCTGCGGGAAAACCAGGGATGTGCCTTTGACTGAATTAGCCATAAAGACGTCTTGCTATGACTTTTGTTCCAAACCAAAGCATCTAAATATCGCGTCTAATATGATAAGTATTGTTCCCAGCTTTTCTTTTGGTCCCCAGAAATATTACAGTGCTGATTTGGCGATTCATTTTCTTAGACGGTGTCACAAAACTTTTTGCTGAACAGAATTAGTTTTTGAACATATCATTAAAATGACCCCAATGTTTTCAGCAGCGAATTTATCAAACCATTCATCTGACAATACTTTTAAATGCATCATTGTCATGGATGGTGGATTTGATAGATTAGCGAGAGGCACAAAACCCCTTTTTCAAGGTCAAGTTGAAGATCTTGTTTAGTGTTTAGCTGCTTTTTGTTAAAGCTATAGAATAGTATCTTTGTATCTTTTAACTTTTCAGGCACATCTTGCAAAATGAGGTTAAAAGTCATTATGCACAACAAGGATTCAGCCAACAAGGACGCAATACAACGACACAAATGCGTTGATAAGAATATTTCCAACAAGGATTTTTAAACGGTGACTTTTTTAAAATAAGAAAACTGTCCGCCAGTTCATGCCACTCATTTTCGTATCTATCAAATATGAAAGGCAGACTTTCCAGTTAGTGCTTTTAAATTAATTTAACTTGGAAAATTATAAAGCCAAAAATAGCGAAGTGAAAATCTTGCTCGTGACATAATTAATTTTTCAATCTTTCAGTCGATCAGCCAAGACCCGAGGAAGACAAGTAAAGCTTTATTTTCTCTTTCATCCTCTGTATTCCGGAGAAAATATAGGATACTCGTGTTTTCATGATGGACTCAATGTGTTCGGGAACGTAGAAATCCGATGCAACCTATCTAGCCCAGCCGATCTCCTTTGTTCATCTCTATGAAGTAGGGAGTTTGCCAGTTGCCAACTCCCGAAGTGCAAAAGCATGCGTCATTTTTCACCCAGTTCGTCTCATCCTCAAAAGACAACTATCAAACCAGCCCTCAGCCCTTTTAGGCATTAATTACTTTGCTATCCAACCGATCTGTTTTTCCTATTATTTGCATTTCGCAGCAGGGATGTTTTTGCAAGACTAATGCAGCTGCGAGTAGCTATGAATGCATTTCTCACTGTAAGGGCGAAATAGGTAAGCAGAATAGATGTGTTCCTCCAAAAATAAGGATAGATTAATACATGTAAAACTTCTACATCTTTGTTTTGATGAATAGCAAACAAAAGTTTATGAGTTGCATGCTAAAGTACATTAACATGTTTTGTCATGTAGTTCTTATCCAAAGCGTTAATTTTGAATGTTGAGGCTGACTGTAAAATCAGCATTGACAGAACTAGATTGGGATGTGCGGACATGCTTATTTTTTCGGCACAGATGATAGCCAGTTTCATGTTGGTTACTAATACATTGTCTTTTACATACACGTCCCCCAACTTCGGCCAAAAGGACGCAAAATACTCAAGTTTTAATATTTCAGCTTTATACCATATAGACAGTTATTCTATGTACGTTAAAGGGTGAATCGAATTCTTTGTTAGTGTTGTTACAAACCTTGTCTTAAAGAGCAGCAAATTGTATACTGCGAAGAAATGACTCATTCTCATGGACATCTTCCCAACAGATAGGAGTCACTGAAACGTTGCTGAGCAAGATGATTACTTTTTGCGTTGATGTAATGGAATAATGTCACTTTTGCAGATAAATAAAATGTTTGAAACGTTCAAACAGTATGCCATTACTGGATAGTTTCATACTTTACAGCCCTGTTCTTGGTGAGTCGACGCATTGTCTATCTTGTTCAACTCATCAACAGACAATTAATGCCTATTAAATTTGATTTTCCACCCAGTATTTGTAGAAATTGTTCAATGTTAGAGTTTAAAGGTCCCTGTTGGGCTGAAGGTTCGATAATAGAGATATTTAGCTTGTATGGAGGATTTGTGAAAGTGGCTGAGAGCCAGCTCAGGGCAGATTCAGCCCGATTGGGATTAACCCTCTCGCTGAATTTCGACAAGTTGTGAGCAGTTTAAGGACCCTGCTCAACAGTAAGTGTCGTCAACCCAGTTCCCCCTACCCCAGCGACTCCATAGCACCCAAATGAATAATTTATTTAGAAATAATTTTAGGTTCTAAAGCTTCCTTTATTTCCATAATACTGATGGTATTTACGTAATTTTACAGAAGCGCTCTTGTAGATTATCGAACTTGTTGACAGATAACAGGTATGATAAAAACTTCCAGTTAAATTGTGTGGGGTTCAATAGTGAAAAGTCGAACTATGCACGTCTCAATGTTTAAAAAATTTAAAATCTCGGTGGGAAAGAAAAAAAAACATACTCTTTGCGATAATGTTCAAATGCCTACTAAAATACAACACTGAGAATTCCCTATTAAATATTTAAATTAGTGTTAAACTCACCATAAAACTTTCTGTCCGACGATATTGATTTATGAGAGGGTGAAAGACAGGGGCTGTATTTTACCATGACAAACGCATTAGAAAACGAAAGCGTTTGACTATTCAAATCTTTCAAACATCTTTTACCTTCTTGCTGTTGGAGCAGACGCCACCGGTTGCACTACACAATTGGAAGAAAAATAAAGCATTTTGTGTCAAAAGTGAGTAGGCAGAGTGTAAATTCTACTCTGTACAAACAGTTGGCGCTGTTGATTCTGGGTGGATCTCTGGTGGATCAACAGCTGTGTATGAAACCAATGATTACCATAGGGTTTTAAATAATTTAAAGTGTTGGACATAGATATCAAAATGTTAGTAAATAAAACAATTCCTTTCCAGTGCCTGAAAAATGAATAGTCCAGACTCCATAATTGCGTATAACGGCCTTTAATGTTTACACTGCCGTGATGACACTGCAAAAAGCTTCAGGAAAATTGTTCCGAGCTCATTCACAGGTTCTTACCATGCATGTGGCAGAAATCATTCTCTTAATGTTAGAGTACGTTTTGAATTATTGTCACTATATTTTAGTTAATCAACGGATTCATTTTAAACATATGATTTTGGGATGGGGCAAATGGATGTAACTGCAAGTATATCTGAATGCTGTACCTACTTCAACAAGCTATTACTTATGCAGATCCTACTGTGAACTTCAGGGAGTAAAGAAAACAGCTTGGCGTGGAAGACGGCATTGATTTTTACGTGACCTTTATAAAAACAGTCTATCGTAAAATTTCACGGTTTATACTGGACATCGTGTACCGATATTAATAGGTTAAATCCATCCAATGTCGGAAAGAAAAACGGTTCTTGTTAGTGTTGACAATTCGATTAACTGTTCACGTTGCTTTAAGCCTGTAGGTTGGAGCGGGAGAGGCGGGTTCCAGTACGGTGGTTTCCTTTAGCACATATTATCAGACGATCTATGAATACACAAGTGGAAAGAAATCATCAGCCAGCGATTTTTTTGAATACTCAGTAAGAATGTGCAAAGTGCGTGTGCATCAACGACAAGTTTCTTAACCGGTACCGGTATTTGAAAATAAAGTCTCATTCAAGCACATTTGTAAATTAATTTAACACTAACCGCGAGTCAGTAGAAATGTCAGTATCAATTGTAGAAATGAAAACACGAACTGTTCACAATCACATTGTAGGGCTGAGATACATTCATTATTATTTCAAGGTATCCAAAATATGTGACATTTGGCATTCTTTCATTTTTTCATGTGTAAGGCTAAATTAAACCAACATATACAAATATAAAAATCACTGTGCATTGCATCCAATCTACATTAAAGTTGGCGTTTCAGGTCAGAGGGCACTTTTCAGTGTGTTAGATTATACAGATGCTATAGTTATGTCGTAAACGAAGCCTTTCAAATCCTGTGGGACATCAGCACAAAGTTACACTGTTCTGCCCAATAGTATTCAAAATATTCAATTTCTTAAACCTATTACGTTAGCAAGGAGATAGGTATACGACCCTATCCAAACATTAAACACTTAAACGTCCACCGAAGTGTTTTGTAACTTTAGCACTGAAGTTCAAAGTGGTAAGCCTTTCTTCTGTATTGATTTCAAATTCAGCCTTCTGATAAACAATCTGAGGTTAAACTGGATGACAAATAACTAAAATATCTACAGATTCTTTATTTGTGCAATTTAAAGGCACATCAAATTAATGCAAAATCTGCAAGATAGTCTAGCTGTAACAGTTAGCTGATAAGAAAGAACAATGTCTCATGAAATATTGGAATTCCAGAAATAATAGCAGTACTGGTGTCAGAGAGGTCTGAAAATTTCATAAATGTTCTACGAAACCTGGTTCATAAAGTAATAGCAAATAGCCTTCAATCATCTACTTAGAAGTGATTGTGTTTGAAATGACTTCTGTATTTTGTAGTCTTTTGTCTTAAAACATATGTTAAAAAATGAGACAAGTTATTTATTCCTCAAATGAGGAATAGTTCACAACCCCCAGGGAACTTGCTCATCTTGGGTTATATAGACCTTAATCCTACAATTTCAGCTTTTGTTCCTGATTTACAGCATCCACAGATCTTTCAGTTTTTAATTTAGTATTTAACTCACTGCCACATCTCTTCTAGGCATGTCCACCTTGAAGAAGTTCTGCTCCTCTCTCCAATGGGATTTTCATTCCAATCTTTCCTCTTGTCTACCGCTGCATATAAACCAATGTTTTCCTAGCTACCATCAGTACTGAGGAAGGGTTAGTGAACCCGAAAGATTAACCCTGATTTTTTTTCGAAGATGCTGCCAGACCTACTGAGCTTTACCAGCAACTTCTGGTTTTGCACCTCAAAATTGAGTTTACTTTATAAGCTCAGTTTCCCTTGAAGTGACCAATTATTAATATTGCAGAAGACTCATACAATTGGTTCAGATCATAAGAGAATTACTCTCAAGCCTCAAGGTGATTCAGTATGAATGAATTCTAATAAAATGAAAATGCTCAGACCATATAATAGATAAACTGACAAAATTTAACCCACATAAGTAGTTATGGCAGATTCACAGTCAGTGGTGGAAATCTCACCTCTGAATTAGAAGGCTGCAGATTTTTCTTGCATTCTCATTCCAGGACCTGTGCACATCAGATTGATACAATGTGGTAGTCCGGGAATGAGGAATTGTTAGAGGTGCTAAAATTAGGCATTAAAATGAGGCCCCAAGCACTCTCCTCTGGTGGACCAAACAGATTTAGAAGACTGACAACAGCAGCAAAATAACAGTCATTAGTCACTAAACACCATTAAAACAGGGTAATTGGTTCTTTATTTTGATCGTGGAACCTTGTGCATTCAATTTGATCTGTCCAAACCAACAATTGAAATTACTTTGAAAGTTATTCCCTTCCAATGGAGCACTTTGAAATATCCTGAAGATGAGAAATATGCCACATATGTGAAAATTATCTTACAAATTAATGCATAGAACTGAACTGATAAAAGTGATGTTTCTTTCCAGAGATCATGGCAAATCTCATTAAAATTCTAAAATCTTTTGCTTTTGTTCATGGGATACACATATTGCTGGCTAGGTTAGCATTTATTGCCCATCTCTACTTGCCCTGGACATGTGCTGGTGATCTGCCTTCTCGAGCCAGCATAGTATGTAGTATGTAAGTACATGGTGGCTCAGTGGTTAGCACTGCAGCCTCACAGCGCCAGGGATCTGGGTTTGATTCCAACCTCGGGTGACTGTCTGTGTGGAGTTTGCACATTCTCCCCGTGTCTGTGTGGGTTTCCTCTGGGTGCTCCAGTTTCCTCCCACAGTCCAAAGATGTGCAGGCTAGGTGGATTGGCCATGCTAAATTGCCTGTAGTGTTCAGGGTTATAGAGGGATGGGTCTGGGTGCGATGCTCCAAGGGTTGGTGTGGACTTGTTGGGCCGAAGGGCCTGTTTCCACACTGTAGGGATTCTATGATTTCATACATTCACAGCGAGGTAAGGAGTTCTAGGATTTTGACCTAGTGATGGTGAAGGAATGGTAATATAGTTCCAAGTCAGAATGGTGTGTGGCTTGAAGGGAGTCTTGCAGGTGATGGCATTCCCATGAATCTGCTGTCCTTGTCTTTCTAGGAGTTAGAGGTAACTGGTTTAGAAGATGTTATTGGAGGAGCCTTGATGAGTTACTGCAGCGTATACTGTAGCATCTATAGTATACTGCTGCACACCGTGAACCAGTGGTGAAAAAAGTTATTATTGATGCTGGTGGATGAGTGTCAATGAAGTGGACTGCTTTGAGCTTCTTGAGTGCTATTACAGCTGCATTCATTCAGGCAAGTGGAGAGTATTTTGTCACACTTATGACTTGTTGCTTGAGAATGGTGAACAGACATTGGGAGTCAGGAGTTAGTTACTTGCTGCAGAATCCCAACCCTTTGACCTCCTTTCTTACTTTGAGCATCATTATGTGGCTTAGTTAACTCAGTTGACTGGATGATTTGTGATGCAGAGTCTCACCAACAGCATGGATTAAATTCCTGTCCTAGCTGAGGTTGCCGTAAGGGTCCTGCCTTCTCAACCTTGCTCTTTATCTGATGTGTGCATGACGTCCAGGCTAAATTCACCACCAATCACTCCTCTTGAGTGAAAGAGCAAACTATGGTGATTTTCATTCATATGACTGGTTCTGTACTGTTTCTGGTCAATGACAACTCCAATGACAATAGTGGAGGAATCAGTATTGGATTATTGTTGAAGGTCAGGGGAAGATGATTAGATTCTCTCATATTGGAGATGGTCATTACCTAGTGCTTTCACGGCATGAATGTTACTTGCCACTTGTCAGCCCAAACCTGGATATTGTCGAGGTCTTGTTCATATGGACAAGAACTGTGTCAGTATCTGGTCAGTCATGAATGGTGCTGAACAATGTGCAATCATCAGTGAATATTCTAACTTCTGACTTTATGAAGAAGGAAAGGTGAAAATGAAGCATAAAATGAAGTAGCTGAATGTGATTGGGCCGAGGATACTATTGTGAGACACTCCTGCAGTGATTTCCTGGAGCTGAATCAGTTAAGATAATTGTATTTGTATGCTCTCTATCAATCTAATTTATTCTTGCTGGTCCACTATCTTGGTTATTCAATACAATCTTGGCTGATGTAGTACAATTTTAGACAAGGTTCTTTTTCTACTAATTATAGTTGTACAATGATTAATTATCATCCTGAAGTTTGAGATTACATTAAAAAAACATAAGACAAGATAGCTGATACATAAACCGCATGATTATTCCCAAAAATATAGAATAATCATGTCACATCATATAACGATAACAAAACACATTACAATGAAGAAACATTTTTAAAACTCTTGCATTTCCATTTTCTGGTAATTGGCATATATTAAAATTCAGTTTTAAAAGGCTAAATTCTGTGTTTAAAGTTTTAAGGGGATCTCACTAGTAATGTAACGAGTATTAGCTTTGCTGCATTTTTGTGAACTTTTCCACATTACAATACAGAGACACAGATTTTACCGTCCCCAATCGTTTTTTGTTGATCAAATGAGAACAGAAACTCCCATTTGGGAGGGGCAACATGACATTTCACTTGAAAATTCTAAACAGGTCACAGACCTTGCACAGACCCAAAGGCAGTGGGTGGGAGCACTTAACTAAAGCGTGTAACCAGCTCAAGCTGCAGGTTAGCCATTTTGCTAGCATTGGAATTGGAAATGTTACAATAAGCTTCTCAAGAAAGCGCTGAAACATAAACTAAAGCTAGAATTTGTATATAAGCTGGTTTCAAGGCTTCATGTTGCAGTTTATACATGATTAACCACGGCTGGAATCACAATGCTTTCTATAGTCACATTTTAGAAAATGGTATTTTTCTAAAAGCTATAAGCTAAAAAGAGAGAAGAAGGCTGCCCTAGAAATGACCTAGAGCTTTCAGATTCTTTGAACACATCATTATTTCCATTGTTAAGTTTGATTAATTGTGACTGATAAGTTGGAGTGAATCAAGATTTTGTCGTTATTGTCCACTATATTGCACAGAATAATTTAGTTTGAAAAATAGTAAAAAGCTAAGCAAAATTTCAGAGTCAAGAATGAATTCAATGTATTCTGTCCTTATTTGAAAAACAAAATTAATCATTAAATCTTTTCAATTTTGGAGCAGCCAGGATGAAATTTAATTGGATAATATAACTTCAAAGAATTCTGATTTTCGTACAAAGTTAGTCATATTATTGTCACATTCTAGTGATATTATTTCTAATCATTGAATAAAGTTTCATCATTGGTGACTCTACTTTTGTACGGTCTAAATATAAGACTTTAACAAATGTACCAGTGGCACAACATTATTCCCGAAAAGTAAAACCCCTACCAATAGTTGCATAAATCTGCCAATCTTCTGCATGTCACAGTAAGTGACAAAACT